AATTTTAATGAACTTTTTTTATTTTGTAGCCCTCATTTAGCTCTACAATTTAAAAAATAGTTCATCAAAATTGGACCACTGGATGCCGAGATATTTACAAAAAACGATTTTTTGAGCCCCTGAAAAATGGGCCAATCTGCCGAAAGTGTGACTTATGACCTGTTTTGGAGATATCCGGGGTCCTGAGAGGACTATTACTGTTTTTTGACGAAAATTATATAAGGGAGTGTATTAGTATATTTTAACCAATGGGCTATATGATATTTACTGCAATCTAATAGAACAGTCACCTAATAGAGAACTACTGGACAGAGATAGAGAAAGAAAATGAGAAGGCGCCGTGGGTATATGACAGAATACAAGCCACAGCGATGATACAATATGTACGAAGCTAGCATTGTTTATAGCGAAGCGACGCGTAGCAATTTTTTATTGTATATGATGTAACAATGATGACGCGTTCAATAAATACTAACGTGTTTAATAAATATATACTAATCAGGGGCTAGACTAAATTGTTAATAAACAAATAAGCCGCATCCAAGGGCTATAATTTAATAGATAAATAATAAACACATGACACCAGTGGTGAATACCAGTGGTGATACGTAGTAAAATTTAAAATTTAATTATAAAATTAATGTAAATTTGATTATAAATACAGTACATTACAAGTACATTATCTAATGTTCCTTTTGTTATAATTGGATAGCTGCAGATTTTTAAGCGATCAACGTACTAAATTTCTGTTAACATAGCGCCCCTGGTAACACAACTATAACAAGGTGGGAACCTGATTTGGATAACGGTATCACCTGATTGATCTGTGCTTACTGAGGACCCCGAAAAATACATATAAAGGTCACATGTAAGTTTGCTTAACCATATTAGTAAAATTTCCAAAAGTCATAAAATTTTATTTGCATAGATTTTGAGATTTTTTAAAAGGTTATATATATAGTTTGCGTAATAACAATCATTTTTATATATGTCATATATTTTAATTTGTGTAGTCAACGGTATTTTTTAATAAAATATATATATATATATAATTCCAGCAGTCTTCTAC